AAAAAAAAAACATAAGAAGTATAATTTTTGTCATATATAAGGTACAGGTTATAAGTCATATATTAAATTCACAGTACAGATGCCTTCTAGCTTGAGTCTGAATACAAAAGAACAGCACTCAGTATCACCTCTCTTCAAACCAAAGCAAACATGCTCTTTTGGACCCTCCCACAACAGGTTTTCTCCTTATCCTTTGCTTCTTTTGTACCTTGGATACACAGACCAGAATTGACTAGTCTCCATGATACAGAAGATACTCATTTGTGACTCTGGACGAGCAAGGCCAGTCTCTAAACCAGTGGCTCTCAACCTGAGGGATATGATCCCCTTGAGGCCACATATCTGAAATCCTGCATATCAGATATTTACATTATGATTCATAATAGAAGCAAAATTACACGTGAGAAATAGCAACATAAATAATTTGTGTTGGGAGGAGTCATCACAACATGAGGAACTGTTGAGAAGTTCCGGAAGGTTGAGAACCACTGCTCTGAAAAGTATGTATGTAGCCATAAAAATTTCCAAACAGGCACACAAGAAAATGTAACAAATGTGTGTGACCCCATTACTTACTTGTATCTAACCAATGATAGCATGTTACCTTAGTTCCCCAGGAAACTGTTAAATCAGTAGACCTCCAGTTTTACTCTTTTTGTAAGAAGATGGTCACCAGTGACCCCACGCCTGTATGCAAGAACGAGGTCCTTAGGGAGGGAAGGGACGAACTCCCAAGCAGAACTAGAGGACCTGTGCTGGACTCCAGCTGGCACTTAGGTGACACTCAGGCTGCCTGTCTTTGTTCTCCTTCTGTGTAGGTTTAAAGTCACTGAAGACTGGGAGCTCTGTGCAGGGTGCCTGAAGCCATACAGCCTGGAGGAAGCAGAGCCAGGGTTTGCAGCCAGGCATGTGGCTTTAAAACTCATATGTAGCACTCCTGGACTGTCAAGGGTTAAATTGTGTTAGAAGCTTCAACATTAGTTTGAGTTTTCTTATCTCTAGCATTTAAAAAAAAATAGAGCCGTTGGAGTTTTTTATGTTTAAAATTCATTTATTGTGCAGAGATGAATAATTTCTGTTACTCAGAATGATCTGTTAGGTCATCTTAACCCTTTGAAATTGCAACTGTGCATGGCCATACCACCCTGAGCACGCCCTATCTCGTATCGTTTCAGAAACTGCAACTGTCAAATCAAACATAAGGAATTTAAAATTTTCTGCCCTGTGTCTCTGAATGCCTTTATGCCTACTTATTCTTCCATCTTGCTACTTGAATCTTGAGTGATATATTTTCCTCCAAATAGCACTTTGAACCAAAATTTAATATTGTGTGTGTTTTCTTTAGTAGGCATTTTTAAGATTGAAACTTCTTTTGACCCTCTGAGGTGTATTTACTGTTTTCTCTGATATTGTCTTGTGCCTATTATTATGCCTTCCAAGTGACTATTAATGCTTTATATCTTCCTATAAATTAGTTAGACATGAATACCTTTTGTATGTGCAGTTTCTCGAAGCCTTTCAGAATCACAGGACTCTTTGAAATGACTAATTACTGCAAATCTGGTTGCCTGTGTAACGCTATCCAGCAAGCAGCTGCTTCGTATGAAGAGCGGCTAAGAGCTCTTTTTGGTTTTGTTCATTTAAAATCATTTGCTTCGTATTTAATATCTGCAAAGAACGCAGCCACATCATAGTAGAATGTGCTGTTGTTAAGTTTTGGATTGTTTCCACGGGTTCCGCCTTACATCTGCATGGTGTTTAAAGCCAATGCTTCCTTTCTCTTTGTAGTCATTCAGGGCCTTTCGCCTCATAATCCAATGTCATGCTGAATGACAGAAAATTGAAGTTGAATTTATTTGGCTATAGAGAAGGACTGCACAGAACAATACACTTATTTAAGAACTCCTTGCCTCAGAAACTGAAGGAGCTGTTTTGCGCAGGTGGCTTAGAATCTCTGCTGCTTATCCTGACTGTGTGCCTTTATTTATTAAGGACAGGAACTGGGCATTCTGCTTCTGAAAACAAAGGACCCGCTAGTGTACCCAAACCCTAGCCTGTGGGATGCTTACACATCATTCAGAACCACCAGGGACACATCCTATTTTTTTGTTTTTTTTAATAACCCTTAGCACTTCCTGATTACAAAAAAAAAAAAGAAAGAAAGAAAAGCAGCCATGAAAATATATAAATCATCTCCCAATAACACACCGCGGAGCTTTTACATTGTGAGTTACTCATAATAAATTGTTTCCTCAGCGCTACATGGTGCCTTCTCTGCTTAAATAAAATGCCTTCTTCCTTGGCACTGCTTACATTTCTGCTTCTGTGTACTTCATGTGACATCCTTCAGTGGGTTCTTGTTTTTCAAGGTAAAACATGTATTTACTTTACCAGTATTGAGAGCTATTGTAAGACCCGTGGCCAACAGCCTTGAGGACAGTGTCTCCTCTGCTGGTTCTGCACTGTGTATTTTTCTGAAAATGAGAAGAGAAACATGTGGGTAAAGAGAATAACCCCCAAAGTACAACAGCTTTGTCATCATTCCTGCACAGGGTCATGGGCTATAGTTTGTTTTAGTTGGAACCTGAAATTCTGGAATCTGATGCCTCTCTCTATGCAGATGTGTGGCTCAGAATACTTTTTAATGTCACCAAAATGAGCTTGAATTAGCAGCTATTTTTAGCATATACTGTTGTCAGATAATTGAGAATTACATAAAATTCACATACCGAGTACAGTTCTTTGGGGATTTATTTTCTAATTCATCACTTTTAACTATAGCCACACTTAGAAATAATAACAAAATCCATCATGTGGGTTCAGATCCATGTTTCATCTAGTTCAAAATCTGTTCTAAAAAAAGCACCAAGGAGCATTCAACAAGAAAGCAAAATTGTTCTCTGTGTTGTTCATTCGATGAAATTAGTCACAAGGATACCACATTTGTCTTTATATCTTTCACCTGTAAAACAGAATTTCTCATTTTGTAAAGTGAATCCCTTTAAAAGTTCAGAGACTATAATTACTCTACAACAATGCTCACCACACTTCTTTGACAAAGTATTTCCTTGTGGCTTTGATGCTTCAGGAGCCAATGTGAGTGAGAAAGACTTGGGGATCGGGCAGGACTGTTTGAACACTGGATCACTCCACAGCTTGCTGAGTGAACGTACTTTCATCTTCACACATTCCACTTGCAAAAATCAAAATACCCACTTTCTTTTCCTGGTAACTATGACCACAAATGAACTGAGGCAGGGGAAAACACCATGCTCAGCTCTTGGACGTAGTGTGTCATCAGTGAACACCAGCTCCTTCCTCTTCATTCCTCAAACCTGCCAGCAGCGTGTCTGAAGCCTCCTGGAGCTTAATAACACAATGACATGGTACAGATCATTCAAAATATAGTTTCTGAGTTTTGAAAGGTTTTTCATATACATATATATATATATATATATATATGTACATATATAGTATTCATTAATAGGAAAATGTGTACCCTGAAAATATTAGTAAGTCTGTAATTCATCTGATATGAGAGGCCTTACCCTCAGCAGACTTAAACATCTTCAGAAAGTTTGATGGCTGGCTCATTGATTTCCTGATCGCAAGAATGGGACAATGCACTCAGAAAGGATCTCGGTTTTTTCCTTTTCATCTGAAAAATGAGACGATTAGAACCTGTCTGGGATTTTGAAGGGATAAAGTTAAATAATGCATGTGAGGAGGTGTTGGTCACAGAACACAAACATTTCATTTAGATAGGTGGTGAACTTTAAGAGCTCTATTTACAACATGGTGATTATTACTCAGTAATATTATTAAAAAATTTAAGAGTAAATTTAAAGTGTATGAGAATAGTATGTGTGTTAATGTTTGACTAATCCATTTTATAACATATACATGTTTCAAAATGTGATATATATAATAGACACAAAATTTTACATGCTCATTAAAATAATTAAAAATAATGTATCTGAAAGCACTGGGTATATAAAAAAACAAAGATTTTTATATTAAGTGCCTGGAAAATTGTTATGAGAACAGTTTAGAATGAATCTGTTTGTTGCTTTGAGAAACTAGCTCATTATATATATTATATATATTATATATAATATATATAATATTTTTATATATCTTTATATATTATATATATATAAAGATAAGCAAGGATGTTGAAGATTTACATAAAAGTTTGGTACATGTTTATGATTGCAAAAAGGAAGCCTCTTACTATTAAGATGCTTGACATTGCTAGAACATAAAAATTTGGTAATTCCTTGTTCTGAATGACATTTTCTGCATAAACTGGTTAGTTCATTTGTGTTGTCTCTCTTTATACCTTGGATGATCCTGGAGAGTTAACTGCTCTCAGACTGTGAGTGGAGTCGGGGCTCAGACCACAGCTCTCACAACAGCTTGCTCACAGGTTCCAAGCCAGGACTCTGCACACCTTCTGAAATAATCCTTTTCAAATACTCCCTAATTTTTCTAGCTGAAGACTATGTGAAAACCAATTGCCCCCAGTGTTCTCTTGCCTTTTAAAGTTATTAAAATACCTTTTAGATGCTACTCAGAGTTAATGAACTGTCAGCCATGAGCCCAGTACATAATTTGTCTATTTCATTTCTATCCAGAAGCCTCAGTTGCTTTGGGAACAAAAGAGGGAGCTCAGACAGCCAAACATTTTAACAAGTGAGTCACATGATCAGAAATGTGTGGAGTGTGCCACCAACACAAATTTCCTCTGAAAACAGTAGAAAGGTTAGCCTGTTAGGTGCTTACAAATTAGCCTGATGGTGAAAGGAGAAAGGGCAAAAACATGAGGTGTGTAGGCGGCTGTATGGACCACGGGCATGTTGCCTAGAATGATACAGGCAAAGCAGAAGAAACACCTGTGCTCTTCCTAGGAAGCTGAAGGGAAGCTTCAGAGGAGTTTGGTTTAGCTTATGAAAACGCCTAGACTCTGCTGTGCTAATGAAGATGCTGTCCCTTTTCAGATTTACAGTGTCAAATAGATGCACTTGAGTTGCGACTTCAGAAGACCTCAATGGAGCTGGACAACTGTAAAGAGACGCTCATGTAAGGTGCAGTGTTAAACTGCCGGAAGAGTGTAATGTGTGTAGAGTCTTGGCTTATTTGGGTCCTGCCAGTAGGCTGTTGTGAGAACTTCACTGTTTCTGTGATGAGATGGGCGCCGGAGGCAGGCGAACCTCTAGAAGCTGTAGCCAGCCTGGCGTATGTGAAGGCAAAATAACAGAGACCCTGTCATAAACGTGGTGCACCATGACACACACACACACACACACACACACACACACACACACACACGCATCATACAGAGAGACAGAAAGAGATGTAAGAGATATACACACATGAAAAGTACCCAGGGAAGTATTTGTTTTAAACATTAATTTATTTCAGGACTTTGAAAGACTGCTTTCTATGTATACATGGCATATCTATAATTAAAATGCTAAAATAAAATGCACATGATGTTTGAAATACAGTACACCATTTTCCTTCTTGATGTATAATCTGAGAGCTCTGGTTTCAGTTCCTGTACTCACAAAGTTCAACTTCATAAATATAAACATTTAGGGTGCTTAGCGACCAAATGTTTGTGTTGACTGTGGCTGTTCCTAAGAACAATGTGTTTAATCAAATATTGAACCACATAAAAAGGAACGAATTCCAGAACTGCCTAATCAAATTAGTGTATAGTTATTTGTAGCAAGTGCTTTGTTTTAGGAAAACAAGAAGTTAATAGTACAGTAAGGTCAGAGGTGCAGCTGCTGCACAGGATGCCGGGGTGAAGGAGTAAGAAAACAGGGAGTTCTCCGTGCCATCCCCCCAGGGGCGCGATGAGAAACATGAAAAAGAGGCAAGATGGCAACTGCAAAAAATAAAAAATCCCTGAGCACTCTGTCTGGAATATCAGGAGGACAGTGTCCGTGTGGAAGTCTTGTGGGGAAAGCAGGCTCAGACCACAGCTTCTGTGTGACATTTGCTTCTTTTGTTATTGTCATTGTTACTTTGTGCATGTGTGTGTGTGTGCGCGCGCCCTAGGCATGTGCATGCCATGGCACGTGTACTGACGTCAGAGACCAGCTTATTCAAGTCAATCAGTTCCATCCTTCCGTCATCCATGCCCCAGGACCGGAGCTCATGTCCTCAGTCTTGCAGACATGTGCCTCTACCTCTGAGCCATCTCACTGGCCCAGCACTTGCTCCCCGGAGCTCAGGAAGTGGTGAGGGAAGGAAGGTCTAGAGAGCTGCTCTTTCAGAGGGCCAGTTTGGTGGATTCCAGCACTCACAGTAAGCAGTTCAGAACACCCTGCAACTCCAGCTCCAGGGGGATCCAACTCCTCCAGCCTCTGTGGGCACCTGTACTCACCTGTGCACACACACTTTAAAATCCTAAAAAATAAAATTGAAAAGTGAAGAGGTGACAGCCCAGGAAAATTTAGCTTTTAGATAGAATCTTGGAAAAATAAGAAAGATGCCAAATGGAAGAGCAAGAATAAAGCTTATTGGTTGATAAACAAACTCAAATTTTTCCAGAGTATTTTTGTACGGAATCACTAATGTAAGCCGTGCTGTTTGGCAAAGTGTAGTCTTTATCATATCTGTAACCTGAGTACTGAGAAGTGATAGGAGTCAAGGCACAGTGCAGCTGAAGAGGAAGCGTGCGACCTCATGACAGTCCATCACACTAACTGCTTACAAGGAAATGGCTGTATGATTGCAGGAATTCTGTGCTATTGGATTACGGAAAGGCTGCTTCCCAGCCACAGGAGACCGACTTCAATGGAAAATCAGAGCAAGTAACCACTTTTAGAAAATGTGGGTTGTAAAAGAGCCACTTGAAACCATCCCTAGTGCTAGAGACCTTGCTGTAAGCATGTCTGTACTCTTCCATCTCTGCTCCACCTGCTTTCTGTTTCCTGCTTGGAACATGCTAGGTGGCAAAGAATGACCTTGAACTTCAGATCCTCCCACTTCCTTTTCCCAAATGCCAAGTGCTGGATCACAGGCATACACCACCATGCTCAGTTTTATGTGGTGTTGGGGACAGAGACCAGGGCTTCATGCATACTATGCAAATACTCTACAAGCAAAGTTATGTGTTCTAATTGATTTTTATTTCTCTCAGAAGGCTTTGGCTGCAGTCTCTGAAGTGAGGTAGTGACTGAGTTAGTCAATCCAGAGGCTCAGCAATATTACCGAGGGTTTTGACACTCCAGTATCTTAGTCAGTGTTGCTGGAAGAGACACTATGACCAAGGCAACTCTCATATAAAGAAAAACACTTAACAGGGGCTGGCTTACAGTTTAGAGGGTTAGTCCATTATCCTCAAGGCAGCATGCAGGCAGACAGGGTGCTGGAGGGCTAGCTGAGCGTTCTCCCCAAAGCCCACCCCCAGTGACACACTTCCTTCAACAAGGCCACGCCTTCCAGTGCCACTCCCTGTGAACCTATGAGGGCCATTTTCATTCAAACCACCACACTCCTGTCTCCTTCCTGTTGCCTTCAGCACTGGCTTCAACTAGATCAAGGTTGCTTGTGCCTAGAGAATGGCTGTATCTCTGAGTACTATTTGCAAATGAGGCTATCTAGTGGTAAAAGAATCTGTAGAAAAATTCCCCAAATCACCAAACACCCTTCTCACTTTCTGATTGTCTGGAGCCAATTACATCCTCTCTGTTAAATGAATTACTGGCAAGAGGAACTGGACTTTGAAAACAAGCTTAGGCCTTGTAGTAAGTATCTTGATGGATGATAACTGAGATTCTGAGACAAGGAAGAGAGCTGCAGTGACTGTCACAAGGGAAGCAGTGATGTTTGCTGAGTGGTGGGGCATTAATCAAGCTCTGAAAGTCAGTTTTGAAACTTTCTACAAATTCTATCTTTGTCATACTATCTGCATCATTAATGAAGAACTACACCAAAATAATGAAAGCTAAGAAGGCTGCAAATATAATTTTATAGCTAAGCCTAGAGGTGCAGGCCTATAACCCCTACTCCAGAGACTAAGGCAGGGTGAGCACAAGTTTAAGGCCTGCCTGAGCATTGTGTGATGCTATTTCTAGAGACATGAATAAATATCATCTCACTGCAGATAGGGAACTTACTACCGACCAAAGTACAGATACCATCAGAATCTAATTGGCGAAATAGTGAGTTTCTTGGAGTTACTTTTAGAAGCAGAAATGACTCAAAGAAACCTGCATCACCAAAAATCTACTGTAGCATGAGTGGCAATTCAGAAAAGCTGATAGATTTCTCAGTTGAAATTGCCTCTTCCCAAATGACCCGAGCTTGTGCCAAGTTAAGAACAAAACAAAACAAAACAAAAAACAACCTAATGGCAAGGGTGGTAACCAACCAAGCAAGTAACTTGGTTGATCTTGCACTACAGGTTTTCTCCAGGACAGCAGCTCATTTCAGTTATTTTATCTTCACCCTGGCTGTGTGGAATCTGCCCTGTGCACTTGCAACCAGCAGAGCCCATAATTGGAGCTACATCTCCTAAGCTGTGTCTTATTCAGGCTTAACCCTTCACTTCTCATCAGTTGAGGTTGCTGAAAGAGTAGCATTTTCTGCTGGAATTTTAATTCCGTTGCACGGTTCTGACTGAGACTGCCTCCAGGCTCAAATGATGTAAGAAATAGCCCGATTCTACAGTGTCTCTTCAGTCCAAGAGACGTTTTCCCTCTAGACTCTCCCCACTTTTGATCAGTCCCCAGGAGAGTAGGATGGACTCTTGCTTGTTCCTTTGAGGGGTTTGTTTGATAGTGTACCCCAAGAGTTTACCCTTCTTAATTAAGTACAACCCATGTGAAAGGCATTGATTTGGTTAAGTGTTTTCAAATAATAACAGTGTGGAGATTTTAAGATGTAGAAAAGCATTTTATTTTGAAATAACACATTTTAACTATTTAAAAATACTTTTTCCTTAGGAAAAGATCTAATGACGCTGAGAGCTGTCAAAGAGAACTTAGAAAACTGAAGTTTGAGTCCGTTATTTCTGAGTCAAGGTATATATTGAAAATTTTTAATAAACATTTTAATAACTAAACTTAAGCCATAATTTAAAGATACTCGTATTGAGAATATGTATGTCTGTTGTTTTCTTGCTTACGTATGTAATGCCTAACTTGGACTTCTAATATCGCACATTTGTTCCTTGTTTCTGTCTCTGCCTACATTGCCATTACTTTTTTCTTTGCTGTGACAAAAACAACTGACAAAAGTGACGTAAGGGAGGAAGAGTTTGTTTGGCTCACAGGTTAAGAAGGAACAGCGTCACTTCATGTGGCAGCGGGAACATGAGGAAACGGAGATAAATGCTGGCGCCCAGCTTGCCTCTCCCTTTTTTCAGCCCATGAGATAGTGTCACCCACATTCAGGGCAGTTCTTCTTTGTCTGTTATAACTCCCTCAGAGCAGTCTTATAGAAACCAGCAAAGTCGTATTTCCAGAAAGATTCTACGTCCTGCCAATCTGCCATTACGATGAACAGTTGCAGCGGTAGCTTGTCACCTTGACTACCCTGGCCCCTGAGTCTCTTTTTCATCTTGGAATGTGTATCTATAGTCGTTAAAAATCCCAACACTTTTCCAAAATCCAAAGCCTGAGATGTAAGGCAGCATCTTTACATGTCTTCTATAAAATAAGAAGCCAGTGTATATTAAACCAGGGGAGAAACAGAATTTTAGCCAAGTAAGGTCTGACCAAAGCAACTCAAAACCCATCAAGACAAACACCAACTCCTACAGTTCCACGATACACATCTGGACTTGCGATAGAATTATCTGAGCTCTAATGGCCTTCGACAGAACCTGTTCCTCCAAGTATGCCTCCTCAGATAGCCTTTCTCTTGGGCTTTCTCCTCACAGTGCCTGTAGCTTTGCTCAGCAGACACTCTATGATCCTGGCCTTTCCGATACCACGTGCTCACCATTGAAAATTAGGCTTCACCTTCACAGCTTTACCTAGAGCCTCTGGAGCTTCCTTGTGGGGAATCAAACTTTCCCACATTACCTAACCTCAGCAGCTTTCTGGACTACTCAGGGAGTTTGCTCCATAACTCCCTGAGAACCCTGTGTTTTACAGTCCCAGAAACCAGATACCAGGTAGATGGCACTGCCTAGTTCTGCTGCCAACATCCTGTTGTCACAGCACATCGGAAGCTGAGGAAATGCTTTCCAAAGCTATTGCGTTTAAACAGGGAATCCCTCAGGGGCCTTCTCGGGTCAGTCTCTTTTATGTGAATATTAATATTTTCACAAGTGAAGCTTTTGATGTGTGTGTGGGAGCTCCTTTCCCATTTCCCAATGAGTCAAGTTTGAGGCTTGTCTTGAATAGTCTGAATCTCTAAAGGTCTGAATCTGCTTTACTTGTCACACCCTGTCATTGTAGCCCTGAGTAGACCAGTGAGCAGTAACCATGACACAGCCTGAATGATGTCCTCAACACTCATCTTCCTCACCCAAATTAGTTCTTTGGTTTTGAATTCAGTCTCACTCAAGGTCTTGGCACAGGAGGGAAACCATGTTCTTTTGCAGAACATGACATGAATGGCCCAAAAGATTCCTTGAGATCTCATCATCTGGGTTCCTCTGTCTGCATTTCCCTCAGCATTCTGAGAATTTTGTTTTCTACTAGAATGGTCTGCTTACAGCAATCGCAGACTTCTCTTACCATAACTTCCAGACTCTTTCACATTCTTCCCACAAAGCAGTTCCCAAAGCCTAAGAACCACATAGTTCGTTTATCTCCTTTCTTACCAATTTTCTGTTACCTTTCTTATTTCATGAACACAGTACCTTTTTAAAAAATCAACTTAGGGTTTCAGGGATTTGTTTGGTTCATTTTAAAGAAGGATACAGCCCACTATGACAGGGAAGGCACAGTAGTGGAAGCGTGGGGCAACTATTATGTCATCCACAGTATGGATGGGAACCCAGATTCCTTTTTCTTTTTATTCATTCTGGACCCCACGCCCTGGAATGGTGTTGCCTATATTCAAAGTGAGTCTTCCTTCGCTCTCATAGATACATGCAGAACCCATGGTGGTTCTCAGTTCAGCCAAGCTGGCAATGAAGATTAGTTATCACAATGGGAAAAAAATTTAACATCATCAAACTATCCATGTTCTTAACATCTTTGTTTTTTTTATTAGGTATAGTTATGATGAAAGATCTATAGAATATAAGTATAGTATAATATAAATATAATTATAAAATCATAGTACCTAATGCATGCTTGTAATATTTTTTAACTCCTTTTAGACACAAAAGACTACTTAAAGAAAAGGAAGACTCTTTAATTACTTGTCAACAACTATATAAAACTTTACAGGAAGAGCTGAATACAAAAGAAAGACAAGAAGAAGATATAAAAAGAAGAATCAAGATCACAGAAAATGAATTAGAGATGACCAAAACTCTCCTGCATCAGACACAGGAAGAAATTTTAACACTGAAAAATGAAAGGTGCAGTCAACAGTAATTCCTTAAAAGTATTTTACCTTTAAATAAGTATTCGGTATATATTTAAAACATCAAAATGGATATTATAATAACAGTAAAGTCAGGACTTCAGACATGTTTCACATGTAAGTTCAGTGAACTTCATTACTTCACGTTGAAGTGGTCAGCTGAACCTCGGGGAGACTAAATTGCTATGCAGAGCCTCCCGGTTAGTCAAAGCATTGGTGGTGTTCAAGTTGCAACGCTCTCGGAATTCTACCCAACATTTGATCATTTTTGAATATTTGTAGCCTCACCTCAAAATTGGTAAATTCTGTTGATGATTACGATGATGATGATGATGAAGATGATGTTTTTTGAGAGAGGGTTTCTCTGTGTAGCATTGGCTGTCCTAGACTTGCTATGTAGACCAGGCTGGCCTCAAACTCACAGAGATCCGCCTGCCTCTGCCTCCCTGAGTGCTGGGATTACAGGTGTGCATCACCTTGCAAGCTGGTTATGTTTTTAACATAAAAATGTTTGTTTGCTTTTTTACCACTATTCCTTTTTATTACCTCCTCTTTACCTATTGTAGGTTCTGAAGTTTCCATAAAGGTGTTATCACTGAGACTTAAAGCATTCTGGCCCAGACTCTCAAGATACTTTTGTTCTGACCTTTGAACTAGCATTTTCTATAGTAACGTTACAACTCTGCTTTTTTTCTTGTTTTAATCTGCCTAGAATGCCTTCACTCATTCATCCTGAAAACCCTTTTTGTTCTATTTATATATCTAAGGTATAGCGTAACATTTGGTTTTTCCTGTTGTTGATTTTTAAAATAGGGTCACAGAGAGTGTTCCTTTTACATGTATTGATCTATTTATTATATTCTAGAATAATACAAGCCTTATAAGGTTGGAAATTTTTACTTTTTACCATTCTCTGCACACAGGAAGCTGATGATTGATTGGGTATTTGTTATTATATAATTTAAAATAAATTTTATTTATTGCTTTTTGAGGTGTGTGTGTGTGCCCGCGCATGTGTGTGTGCGTGTGTGTGTGTGTGTTGGCATACATGCCACAGTGTACATGTAGAGGTCAGAGGACAACTTTGTGGACTTGGTTCTCTCCTTCCACCTTTATGCAAGTCCCAGTGGTTGAATTCAGATTGTCAGGCCTTTCCCAACCACCTTGCTGGTCCTCTTCTATCATTTTTATCTCATTAAAAGTTTCTGTAAAACTTAACTTTGTGGGTATAATTTATACATCTTAATCTTTTGTTCTCCTTCATGATTGTAACTGTTTTCTGAGAATAAATCTGGGGTAGGGCTGCAGCAGTAGACGGCAGGCATAGTATAATTAGGTAATTGGGTTTGTTGCTCAGAACTCTTTCTCCCCGACACGGTGGTGGACTATGGGAGTCATTTGTTTGTATGGAGGCCAGCATGTCTTCACAGTTCCCTAAGAAACAAGGCTTGTGTCTGGTGCTTCATAGGTTGATTTTATTTCTACTTCTCTCTGATTAAGTAACAACTGTGGACCTAATGTCTCCCATATTTCTTCTTCACGTTGAGATGTTACTAAAAATGATTCTTGCAGCGATGTTGTCTTTGTACCTGTCTGACTCTTCATCAACCTCTTTTCTTCTTTATTTCATGATTATATAGTATCCCAGCAAATAGCATATTTAGAAGCTGCAGTCTAATAAGCAAAAACTTTAGAAAAGCCAGGCTTACTGAAGGAGCACCCACTGAAAGATTGAGCATGTAGAAACACAAAGGAACGTCTGTATGGACACAGAAACTTCAATATAACTATAATTCAGATATAAATGATAGTATATATTAGAAATATATTAGAAATACATACTGAGGGCCTTGGCACAACAATAACTTCAGAAATGTCCTCCCTGTCTCTATAATACAGGTTAATAACCAACGGCCATAGTGTTTGCCTATCATATAAAAACAGCTATGATTTTGTAGAGAATACACATAAGTACAATAAAAAGATACATTGTAATAAATAAAAACCTCAGAAGTCTTTGGAAAAGAATTCGGTCATCTGAACAATTCTTGTTACCTGGGATTTTTTCTTTTCCTTCTCCTTCCCTTCCTTCCTTCCTTGTCTTCCTCCCTTCCTCCATTCCTCCCTCCCTTCTTTCTTCCTTCCTTCCTTTCTTTTTTCCAAGACAGGCTTTGTTCTGGACTTGCTCCATAGACCAGGCTAGCCTTAGACTTCTGCCTGCTTTTGCTTCCCAGAGTGTTGGGATCACAGGTGTGCAGCTTCCTTCTTTTCAACGATGCTGCATTAGTGCAGATTATCTATGTACTCAGGTGAATGCTGTCTGCCATGGTGATCGCTGAGCTCCTCCTATCTTTTAAATGTTTCTGAAATTCTTCTCTGAGCATCATGATTTACATTATCACCAGAGTGGTGAACATCCTCCCTTTAGGAACAAATTAATAAAACTTAGAAGCAACAGTAAGTATTTAGACATGTTTAATATTAGATGAATTGAAAAGACACATAGCTGCCCATGGTGGTATATATCTGTAATCCCAGCATGGATGTGGCTGAGGCAGGAGGATCCCTGCAAGTTTGAAGCCAGGCCAGGCCAGCCAGGGTTATGTAATATGACCCAGCCTCAAACAAGGAATTCAGTGCTGAAGCACAGGCTCTGTGAGTTTTTAAGTTGAACAAACAGGTTGACATCCCAGCTTGACCACTGTCAAGCTTGGGTAACCCAACTGTTAGTCCATTTCCTTAGGTGCAAACTGGGCTATAATACCAGGTATCTTTCTGTAGATGCTAAAGCATATAGCACTATGCCTTGTAGGCTATAAACACTCTGAAATATTGCTTCTTCTTCTTCTTCTTCTTCTTCTTCTTCTTCTTCTTCTTCTTCT